CCGGGGAGAAAAGTTGTTTCTACGTTGCCCCAAAAGGAAACAATACATTTAAGAGTGTAAGAGTCGCGTACACAATTGTGATTAAGTCCATTGCGCTTTGTAATATTTGACAAACATGCATTTCAGAAGAGGATTAGATTCTTCGTATCTGGGAAAAGACGACCTTAGAAGAGTTGGAACTGTAGGCAAGAGTCTTATGTGAAAAAGCCACTATTTTTGTGAAGGAAGAGGACCATAGAAAAAAACCATGTGCGTGCCTGTCGACGGAAGCTATGGGCTTCTGTTGAAATTGATTAAGAGCTGGTCGAGATGCAAACAACATTATCCAAGATGAGGAAGCATGAAAGACAGAAAGTCACTTTTCTGAAACAAAAAAGGCTAAGATATATTTATATTTCACACACGTTTGACGCCAGACTGTGTCAAACAAATCATGGTACAATAATCCTTATAAAAAAAGAAATACGTTCCATGATTTGCAGTGAGAATTGCATCCCTAGGTGTAGTGAACAGTAAAAGGAGGTGAGCCGTAGTCAAGAAGATAAACTTTCTAACTATGAGAATTAGCTACCCGAACCCTGGGATGCAGTGGTAAACAACATAAAGCAAAATCGGATAGTTGTGATACTCAGTCGAGCTGTAGTTAAGCCGGTTAACACCAAAGTAAAGTAATAGTAACCGAATTTCAACATCGATTATTAAAACTGGGAACAAGCTAATGACAGCGATTTAAACTGCTCCATAGATTGGGATGTTGAATACATAAAGGGAAATAGGCATCATAATTGGATTTATTCATAGGAGTGCTAGTTGAGCTGACCGAGAACGATGTTAGAAAAGTGAAATGACTGTTTAGTGGAGTCAGTCGGACGGCAAGATGGAATGCACGAGAGTAGAAAAGTGAAAATCTAAACTACCGTTTAAAAATTACGAGCTTTTTTTACTACCCACATTTGTGTGATGAACAGCAGACGGGGTAGTCCCCATGGTCGCAAATATCTGTGTTTCCGTGATGGAAAACGGAGTGATGAACCACACAGAGCCTTGCTAGGTCAGGTATGGTATTGAACCGAACGAGAGCAAAGCTACCTACCACTAAAGTTCGGTAGAGCTCGAACCTCGGACCATGGGGTCCGAAGCATGTCGATGACAGCGACTAAACCACCACACTGTGATAATAATAATGATAATAATAAAAGCTGCCTACCACCGAAGTCGAGTGGCGGTGCTCAAACCTCGGACCATAGGATCCAAAGCACACCTGTGACAGCGACTAAACCACTGCACCACCATCACATGTTAGTTGAGGGCCGAGCGGGTAGTATGCTGACGTTCTGCCAGTGAGGTCAGGGGTTCGACCTCCAGTTGGGTCGATGGACTCTCACTGATGATGAAACCAAACCGGGTCGAAACAGCTGTTCAGTGCTTCCTATTTTTTTTCAGTTTACGTTTCATTTGCTCTATACACAAAGAAATTTATCATATGAACTTTTAGTTTCATTCTCAAAATAATCAATAATCAATGAGAGAAAATAATAAACAAAGATTGTACTCCGAATACAGGTATCACTTACCATGCAAAGGACCGACGTCGGCTAGTTCTTTCTCCAACTGTGTGAGTAACTCGGCACCCAGAAATGGAAATGCGTTTACAGGAGAGTTTCCTCGCATTGGTCCATTTAGTGGTTTTATTGGGGAGCTCCCATCTTGTATACCGTTGTCTTCCACTCGACGTCTTTTGGCTGACTCAAGAGGTTGTAACCCACTGACGCTTCTAGGTCGTTTGTTTTTTACCAAAATGTTCGCGAAATCCAGTTGCTTGACAGCTATGCGGCCGTCGATCACATCCATCTGTTCTGGAAGACCGTTGCTCAAGTGGGAATTTAATTTTGATTTTAAATGATGTAATATATCATTATTTCTGCCATCAGCAATATGTTGAATCACTACGCTGCGCCGATTAATACCGTTATGACCGTCCAACAAGATGGACTGGGACCGTGGACGAGACGGTGAACCGGAAGGTGGGATACAAATCCCCGTGGGATTGAATATAGATTCAAACTGTTCCGTTGTAGGGACCAAACCAGTCAATCGATCGCGCACGTATCGAGATTGTTTCATGACTTCGAATATATCTAGATCAGCGGACCAGGAATATGACCGATCCGATTCACGTAAGGATAGAACAGCGCGGACAACCCCCTCTGGAGTATGATACATCAATTCACTATGGCCATGGATCGTATTCTTTGAGGGAATTCGAAAGACAAACGGTCCAAAGGGATAGTTAATTGTGTTCAGATCTTCCATGACACTTTGAAAGCGCCTTGAGCCACTTGGTTGAGTAGAGGCCAAACAGGGATGACTGCATACTCTTGAAGCCAAAGATACGGTACGCAGAAGATCCAAAAGATCTCCAGTTTTTGATGCATTACGTGCTCTACATTCAAATGGTAATAACAAACAAAACTTGACGCCCATGAAGTAAAACTCAGATCAAATTTCAAAATATGCTCATACTCACATTTATAACACAATTTCAGGCGAACAATTGTTTTCAATAACTCATAATCATGCCATTACGGTTTATATGAGGGGAAAAAACCTTGGGATTGGGAGAACAATAAAATGTGAGGAATCGTTCACTTCGTGTGGGTTGCACACCGCATTCTCGGATCTGTGCTTCCGAGGTCTGCAGTTGTCTCGATGATCGTGTGACCCATGATTGAGTTATTAAAAAAAATTGTTGGCCTGAAATTGTGTTCTAAAACTCCGATCATATCAGCGCAACCATTGATAATCATGTCTTGGAAATAAATGTTACAGCAAATACATCAAGCTGAATATTTGTTAAAAGCACTCCGGGTAGGACAACAAGGCTTGCAAAGATGCAGACACTTGAAAGGATTGTGGAGGAAACCCAGCTGCTATTTCAACCTTGAGACTGAAACTGGCCACCGCCGGTGCTCAGGATGCAGCCCACAAAATGCAACGGGAAATGGCCTTCCCAACAACACTCAGCGTTTACATCCGAGGGTGTGCCTCGAGTTTTCACAACAACCAACTGTGAACCATAATGTCGCGGAGTGATGCCTTGCATGAACTCTTTTAATCATTTTGGTTACACTCAATCCTCTTTAGCATGACCATTGAGTGATGCATCGGGGGATGACCGCTGGACACTGTGGAGCTACTACTTTGAGCCGTGGGTAACAGCTGAGTGTCAAGTGAAGATCGAAAACTGTAAAACTTCCCCAGAGATTCAAATGAATAGTCTGTCAGCTCACATCCATCTAAGAGCGCTACTTCAATATAACAGAATCGCGAAGAATCATAACAATGATCCCACGACAGATTCTGAGACAGGTGCGTTAAACCTCCGCACACTCGACACCACAGACAACTTTTTCCGACTTCCTTGTAATATGTCTGAGGGGCATTTCGCATAGCGACTGAGAGAATTATTCCTTGAGAGAGGACCGCTGAATACATGTGCCGCGAAACCGGGCGTGCTTCTGGAATGTTTTTCATTCAATCTTTTACTAATTAATCCATTACTAGATCAACCGCAGCGAGGAGGAGAAATAAGTGAATCCATTCTGAAATGAACCAATATGCTTCCGTTATCATGTCATGAAAAGATATCCTCGCATTATCATGCTTTGAGTTTTGAAAATCTAATTACAAGCGTAATGCCCCACGGCTTCGTTGAATTAGAAACATCCATGCGTCATTTTGCGAGTAATCTTACCATTGACATACGTTAATTAGTACGATTAAATGGGGTCAACGAACTAACACAAAGTCTAACATCCCCGCAGTCGAAATCGACCTTTCCTCTCCTTTTCTATTTAGCTTTATAATAGATTTGATTATTGGATTAACCTTAGCCTCGTGCGCGGAAAACAGTGTCCACTTGCTCCCAGATGGCAGAATGTGTGATCTAGAGAATGCAGACGACATTGTGCTGCTAAGTGGAGATCCAGGTAAGTTGCACGCTTTTCTGGATAGCTTG